TCCTGTAAATATTTTGATGAAAATGATTCGCTATTATCAAATTTTAACGTTTCCGAATTCTTTTCATATTTTTTGGTAGTTCAACAATCTAAAACTACCAGGAGACAAATCAAGACACAGGTCCTAATGGTTTATGATCAGAATAAAATTGGTCACAAATCTCCGCAAATAAACGTGATGAATGAACTATATATGTATATATAAGCGTTAGGCTACAGAATCTCGCAGGCTTCAGTCACATGTCACCTCTCTTTTTAAAGAAGGGCAGCGATTTATTTGTCGTCGTGAATTAGCTTTGCTTTTGTGTATTTATTACATCAGCAGCAGTGGTTGGACTCTGTACCTTACACCAACTCTTAGCTATTTATTTCGCTAATAACACCGTTTGTGTTGCCCGACCGTTAAGGTAGCCACGGTACCTGGATTTGATGACGGGGTAATCTGCTGTAGGCACTAACCGTAAGATTTGACTTGGATGTTAGCTGTTTGGTCACGCGAGTGGGTCACTTATAATTCGACGCAGATCATCTGCGTTGAGAATCAGCATTGCGTTTTTGTCGATTTTATATCATCTTCAATCTGTTTGCAATTATCGTCCGTACCTATAAATGTGATCAGTTTTTTCCTGTGGAGGAAGGAATGCAGTGTGATTAGTGCAAAAAGTGGTTGCACTAGGTATGTACGCCTTTAAATCCCACCACATACAACTTCTATTTGTTTCATATGATTCGATGTTACAGTAAGGCCTTTTGGTTGACAAGTCTTTGATAGACTCTCATGTCGATTCACAGAATACACCACCAAGGTCTCAAAGGGAAACATGTTTTAGCCGTAGCGCAACTAGAGAAAGCTTGATTTCAGCGAATATTATTGTGTGTTTGCTACAATCCGTCACCTTTGATCTAAAAACGACTAAAGAAACGTTCTCAGTAGTTAATACACACGAAATGGCAACACAATCAAGAACCTAATTTTTTGTAATTCGGAAAGGTCAAAGGAAAATGACTCTGGTAAATTGCATTAACATGATCAGCAGTATATTGGAATCCTTCATCAGAAATGTGATGCCAGAAGAGGTTAGAAAAGTACATATAACTAAAGTATATGTGTTATATAATAATGTATTTCTGCAAGGGCATGTACATCTACAAATTACAACATTTATCGGTTCACAGTGTGCATTCCAAGTGGGGTTGTTACACAAATATAATCTATAAAAGTGAATATCAGTTCATCCCTTTAGATATACTGAGTAGTCTTCAAAATATTTTCCAAAGTGGCATCGCGTATACGTCAAACACCAGATGTAATCTCAGCACGAATTTGTTAGGATGCGACTTTTTAAGTTTATAGTTGTTTTAAAGTAGACTTGTAGAGCGATTGGTGTGGACTAAAACCTAGGGAAAACACGTACGTCTGGTCTGTTCCAGACGTCAGAAGTTACATATCTGTTCTCCCAGAGCAAGATTCTGAAAAAAAAGAGAAACCGAGGAGCAGCAAGGCACTTAGATATGAACGATAAACAATACTTAACATTTTGTAGTGGAACAGACAGATATATTATTAGATTAAATTCATACTAGCTTTTGTAGCTAAAGTGAAATGTGATCAGAGTCTCCAGATGAGAGAATGCAGTAATATAGAACGGTGATTTGTTATATTTACCAGGGTGGTGTAAGTTCAAATGAAGGAATGGAAGTCGGAGTTGGAATAAGGAAGGCTGTTTATTAGGACAGAAAGTGCATATAGCGAGTACAGTGTTAAGAAAACTAATAACTGTCTTTTACCGTCTGATTTTTTTCCATCCGATGCCTACCACACAGTCTTAGTGTAAATGTCCGAGTTAGCATGTTATAGACTGTCTTAGTAGAATAGCTAATCCAGCATAAAATTAGAAACATGGGTTTGAATGGTGAGCGTAGGAGAAAAACATCAATATCACAGATTGATATGAGACTTGGTCAGTAGACTGGAGGCATGAATCTTCAAGTTAGTACTGAGAAATTACCTGAAAAGTGAGTTAATAGCAAACAACTAATACAAGACTCGTAATTCGAACATTCGTCTACAGCCAGATTGGCCAATTGACGATATGAAAGAAGGCTCTCAATGAGGTGAATATGGAGAGCCAAATGGCGAAGCGAACCCTTAGATTTGTAGCGGTGAATAAATCCCTGAAAAAATATTTCTATTGGCCTTCAAAATTAATGCTGTTCTTATTAATTTAACTGGATACCCCTGGTTGAAGACGTTCGGCCACATATTCGTATCAGATCACGACTGGGTACGCCGTGCTACGCATCCCTTGTAACTGTTAGCCAGCTTAGACCAAATGATTCCCACGTATTGATAGCCTTCCACATATATCTTCGAATCACTTTATCTACGATTTCTGATTTGAATAGGTTGTTATCGTTTGATAAAAATGTGTTACGAGTAAAGGTGTTGTCAGATTCCAAACACATGAGGCATCTTTAGATCCAGGGTTTTTAAATAATCAGGCCCTTGAACTCAATGCTTCAGAGACCTGAATGAGTAGAACGAGTGAATCCTGAAATACCATTATTATTAGCTACACAAACGCTCGCAGTTTTAGAAATAAAACGTCTGAGTTAGACTTGATGATAGATGAACTAAGTATCGATATGATTTTAGTCACATAAAGGTGGTTAACCATAGATGCATACCATTCTCTAAACATGTCTAAATAATATCATACTCTTAGTTTCGTTCCCCTTTTTCTTCTTTGCAGTTTTATGAAATATGTCTCCCTAACTTTATATCCCTTCCTAATTTTTACTTGAAGTAGACAGACAACTCACTGGATTATATATACAACTATAGGGCCAGTGAAATTTAACTGAGCCCTAGTCAAATCATCCTGCAGATGGGTCACTGATTATCGAACTAATCATCGATCCTTGTCAAGGTCAACGACAGCCAACGCGCATCAGTTAATCGTACGCCATGGACTGGCCCATGCAGCGGTGGTCTTACTTTCGCTTGTATCTACCTTAACTAATATATTTCTGTAATAAGTTCCTCTGTGTTGTACATTATTCAAAGCATCTATGGTACTTTGATACGGCAATGGGGTAGTCCACGTAAGGTGCTGACCACGAGGCGTGTCTTCGACGTTATCTGGTTCGTTACATCATTCCCGTCTAATTCGAGTAGGCCTCCAATCATTTCGACATAGATCATCTACGTTGGTGGTCTACACTACTCAACTATAGTTGGCCACAAGGATTGCTCATTACTATTCTAAAGCACTGTCAAGAGAACCTAACATTTTTTCTACTACTGCCAGTGGCCTAGCATCTATGGGCCTGTAAACTTTCAACCGGTTAGGTTAGCAAACAAAACCATTAGCGTCAAGTTAACTGTTACATTACTACTCTTTTATTGGCGTTTCTGAACACTTTACTCTCCCCTGATGAACCTTTGATTCCATTGAACAAACTACTAGATTCTAACTTCATCATTCCCTCCTTCAAATGAACCCGTTCCACCTTGTCACACGTTACAACACATTGTTCTTTATCATCATATTCTCTTATCTGAAGACTGTTTAACCACATTTTAGCCTAGTTATCGAAGCTAGTATGAGTTTTATCTATTAATTTACCATACTTTTGTTTGTTCCGCTATAAACCATTTAGCGTTGTTAAGGGTTTATATCCGAATCCACTCCTGCTAATTTGGTTCTTCTCTCCACCGTCATGTTTTCCGGATCGTACCTGTAAACCAATGTTCAAAATTATTAATGATGCCTGAAAAATGGCATGTGTCTGTTCTGTCGGGAATATATTATCACTATTATATAACTGACGAAGCTCTTCAACTAATTGTCAACTTCTGACCTGATAAGACATTGGGACCTGATGGGTTGCGTCCACGACGGCTATAAACTCTCACAGAGGTTATTTCAGGGCTACTCACGATGTTGTTCCCAGGAATTGGAAAAATGCCATAGTTATTTCCATATTTAAATGTAGACAGAGATAGATCGTGTCTAACAACCGACCTCACAGTCTAACCACTATTGTAGTTACGTTACTTGAAGATGTAAATCGGATTAAATTACTAGGTTACATTAAACCATACAATATGTTCAAATGGTTGTGGACAGAATAAAAAAGGCTTTAGCTTAACGAGCTTCCGTGTCTAGTAGCAGTGGATCACCAATACCTCCAGGCAGGGACACGAAGTGCGCCCACTCCTGAGTAACACGAGTTTGTAGTAAGAATTTGTGCATGAACCGATAGAGAACTGGAGAAATTCACGAGATAACGGTTTATCTTTTGGTGTGCTATTCACAGATCTTAGAAAAGCATTTGATAATGTTTCTTACTTAGGTCTTATGAAGGGGGTCCTAAATTTTGGGATGAGAGGTGCGTACAAGAATGAATAAGAAACCCCCTCCGTGGTGAAAGACAGAACGCGATGGTAAGCGGGACGATTCCGAATGGGAGCCGGTCAAGGGCGATGTACCCCATGGCACTATTGCGGGTCCCACATTTATCTGCCTAATGTCGACGAACGACATGACTACTTAGGTCTTCGACATTACTGTTTGCCGATGCAAAAATCTGGCGAACAATAAAAAGCAAGGGTGGGCACTTTGGTCCGCTAGCTAACATATAAGAACTCGTTAGATGGACTCAATTTTACGTCCAATATAATTTTGTTTAACCGTACCAGGTACAAGAGATTCTAAAAACGCACGCATATGATTAGTATACATTGTATCGCTTGTCATAGTAGTCCAGACAGTGTCTGAATTCAAATTAAAGTTTGCAATCAAATAATCATTCAAGATACTGCCATAGAGAAAGCTTCGGTCGACAATGAATGTCCTGTTTATCTCATCGGTAATTCAGTACTCATAGTGGCATCATTATTATAATTCAACTGGATATTAAACATGTTATAAAACTTTGTGATACTATTATTTGTATTGCCGTTAATTAAACACAAGCTTAAAAAATAGCAGAAATATGAGATTCACTGTCTATTTGAGACTTTCGAGTGGAGATGACAAATGTTTTCTTTGCATATGTGTTCAGAATACTTCGGTTCCACTGAGCTTACTCGGTATATGGCGAAAGGTAACTAAAAACAATGTTACGATAATTTAATTTTTGATGCTGTTAAATTTGTTTGTACAAGGTCTTTTACTCTGCGATAAAGATTTAGTGCTAGTAAATTGTATTTACTAGATTTTGATAATGACGCACTCTCTCATATATATATATATATATATATATATATATATATATATAAACTGGAATATTCTATGCGAGAACATCATTGACCTGTGAGAAAAACATCTCATTTTAACTTGGCTGAAAGTGCGGATAAAAATCGTTTAACTTTCATCACTGACAGCCAACTTTCAGTGCTTTACTGATGGATCAATCAGCCTCATGGATCTCACTTTCTCTTTTTGTGTTAGCGTATGATTATGTTGAAGGCAGTAGATCACCAAAGTAGGCAGTCTGTGTGGACGATCTTGAACCTACTCAAATTGGGCAGAAGCGGTGTGACCTCCTAGCCTATCTTGAAGTCAAACCTTGCGGTTACCACCTAAAGTGGGTCACCCTTTAGTTAAACACAGGCACTGTGACCACTTTGATGACTGTATAGTACAAACATACTGTATTGCAGAAAAGCATTGGTAAGAACAGATACAAGAAACATAATATGACCATTGTCGTACGCGCCTACCCGTGAGATCCGAGTCGTTGATGCGTGCTGCTTGTCCTTGTCCGTGACGAGGGTTGGTAGATTGTTCGACATTCAGTGACGTTCCACTAGCCCCTGCAAGACTTTTTTGATAACATTTATCTTGAGCGTATGAAGTACTTGACATGCTGCAGACATATTTTACTAGAATTTGATAATACTATGCAAACTCTTACAAGCTTTTGCTCTCAAGTTATGGTCGATAAAGCTCATATTTATGTGAACAGCTTAAAGATAAATGTTATTGTGCGGTGACTCACTTGCAACTCATGAGGACAGATAAGCCATCGCTAGTAGTGTGCAGATTTACAGAATTCATTCAGACCCTTCACTCAAAACCAATCACAATACATAATTGATGCTGTTCATAAAGTAAAGTAATTAAGTTTTGGTGAGCTTATACATTCCTGGTTACTTAAAAATTATAGATGGTTTTTAAAAAGCCAGTTTGTCAAGTAATCTTATTTATTGTTTTGTATTATATATAGATTGTTATAAAAGCTTTAACTGTAATTTTATGTGATTTATAATGGTTAACAAGTTACATTTAGAATGGTCTTGTTATCCAACTTCATTGTTGTTATTCTAATTCATTTTTTCATCATGGGATAAGATTTATTTAGTTTAAATAAACGTTTTAAACAGAGATACTTGTATTCCGTGAGATAAAAAGTTATTTAGTGTCACACGCCTTACTTTTTGTCTTTGACCATTTCAAATGGAATTTGCTTTGAGTGAAAAATTGAAAACAAGATTCTAAACGGAATCAAAAATCATAATAAGGAAGAAGGTACAAAGTCCGCTGTTGAATGCCGTTACTTTTGATGAGTATCGATTTGTCTTTTTAGTACAAAAATGCATTAGTATTAATTACGTTTAGTATCATTCGTTGTTTCTCTTGTTATAAATTAGTTTTAGAAATAATCATAACCTAATCCCTAAAATCAAATAAAATCAACGAAGTTATTGGTTCTAGTTATAAAACTTCGGTGGTATTTATCACCACTTTAACTTCACTAACTCAAAACTTTTAATTGTTCACGAGTGATTGTATTGAAATATGAAAATTTAAAGCCTTTTTACATGATGGTTGCCATCGAAATAAGATGAATTTATTTTATTTTGTAGAACACTTTTACCTTTTTTGTTCAATTCTATCAAAAAACAAGTTTTGCAGGATACTATTTACTGATTCCGGCATCAAAATGTAAGGATCTTGTTGCTTTTCATGGTTGGCCTGAAAATAAAATATTACAAGACTATTCACTTCAGTAATGCTTAAAAGTATCCTGTAAAACCTTGTGAAATATCCTTACCGTTTGGTTTTACCATGACTTATAAGGTCTGTAAGACATATGAATGACCTTAAATCACCTTCCTTTTGTTTCAGATATCCACTATTCGCTCAGACATTTTATTTGTGACAAAACTAATTTAGTTCGATTTAAACTTTGTGTAATTAACCGTGTTCTTTAACATCTTTGAAAATCTGCAACGTGGCAATAAAATATGAATTTGAAAGAGCACTAACTCAACTTCTCTTACAAACTAAACAATGCATATCAGCGTGGCTGTAGGCTAAAAATATTTTGTGTTTTCTCAAAATAAGCTCACGGATATAAACTGCTTTGCCTTAATGGTCAAAAGTAAGATAATCAGCATTCAACAATATACTGACTTTGAAATCTGATTTTAAGTCTATGTCCTTATGTAAGCATTTCGTTTTTGTTGACAAATACTTTTCAGATTGGAGAAGCTGAGTTTATTTGTACAGTTAATCCAGGGGAAAAAATGACAGTGGTACTGGAATCAAACTATTTACGTGTAGAAACTCATTTAGGAGAGACAAAATTCCATCACATTGAGGTACCCGAAGATGACCAGTCGGTCGCTAAAACAATAAAATGCCAAATGCTGCAAATGGCAGAAATAAACAAATCACCTTTTGGAAAACTTATTATTAGGAAATATGCCAGTAACTCTATCTTTCAAACAATTTTTGAAATCAAACTGGATCTGGTAAGATTATTACTTTTGTAATCTTTGTATATTAGGTAGATTTACATTTGTTCTGAACAAGTTTCATCCTAATACCTGTGGATACTTAAAAATCTCTATTCTTCCTACGGATAGTTAATTATTACTTCAGTTACTTGCATTCATAGCCTATGAACCTTTTTCTTCATATTTCATGAATATCAATATTCATTGCTGGGGTAGTTGGAACATACGCTACGTTTCGCCAGTCACCACCCGCCTAGACGAGAGATGTTTTCTGGTAAGAAAAGTGGTGAAAAGTGTTTGCAGTGTAGCATTAGTTCATAAAATCATTGACTGTTAGTTTTAACCATGCTGGCAAATAAGTATCACCTGGCTAGAGTCCGCATGGTGACCACGAACAGTGACTGAAGACTGGGTAATGTGGTTCAAAATCATTTGAAATGTTCCAGGTCCATTCAATCCATATCTCCATCCAGATCTTGAATTCTTGCATCACTTAATATATACCATTCCACTCTATCTTTTTGAACTTCGTTCTTGATGCCCACTATTTTTTATTTACATTTTTGCCACGTAATTTTGATCACTCTCACCACCAAATTCGGTTATTTTATCTCGTCATAACAGCCTGATATGGCAGCTTGAGCCAACACGTATCCGTGCCATAATTTACGTTAGTGATGGCTAAATGATTGACTGACTACCTGTAGCACTGTGTTATGCATTATACCCTTAAACAGACGTGCCTTTAAGCCGACTATGCTTCTAAATCGTTTTTAGTTTATAGCAAGGAGATAAAAATAAACATGTGTTTAAGTGAATTTATCTCATCTGTACGTATCATTAGGACTAAATAATCTGTTTGAAAGCCAGTATTTAAAGGTTCAGGAGCTACGTAGTTTGGTTTCTAGTCTATGGTTCAACTAAAAAACTTGCTATCATAGCTGGCGCTGAATTGTGTTGAAACCATTTGTTGACAGCAAAAAAATCTGAGTTCGTATGGCATGAAATATAAAGGTTCAGCCCACATTGAACAAACAGCTAGCCCCTATTTTCACTGTAGTTTGGCTATTTAGTAACTTGCAAATGTTCACTGGCTTTATGAGATGAACTGATGAATACCTAATAAGAATGTACATTTCAAAATGGTTGCTTACTGATATACTTACCATTTTTCCACTATTTCACTTCTATTTTTCTTCAAAGCAAAATTTTGGACGCTCTTTTTAAAAAGAGGAAGTTTGTGGACTGTAGAAAGCCTCTATGACTTGGCATGTAAGTTATTATTCGCAAATTAAAAATAAGAATACTTTAATTGATAGTTACTTCGTCATGATTTAGGATTACAGTAAAAGCTTTACGATAGTTTGCAGGTTTTGTTCGCAAATATTGAAAAAAAACAAGGGAAGAACTGTCTATTATTTTACCGTTTTCAACTATTGTTCACTCAATGTTAGCAGTTAAAAAATTGATCTGAAAACACATTTATTCAAACTGAATCAGGTGTATGCTCCAAAACAATCCCATTCAATTTAATCGTCCGTTTTTTCATGAAAAATAATAAGTGGTAACAGAGAATGTTGGTGATGATTCAAATAAAACTAGAAACAATGCACAATTACAAGCAAACAACATACAATACAATATTACTGTTTTCTGATCACAGATTTCTTGAGACGTGTTTAAGTATTCTTTTAGATATTTGTTCTTCAGTTTTATGTGTTAAACATTAAACGATCAACCTACCGGTACAATTTTTGAGTTACCGATTCGTGATTTCAATAGTTTTATTATGCAGTCAGATTATCCTTTGTGTATTCGTCGTCTGTTGTTAGTTTATAGAGGTGTTACAATTGGATTCTAAATTACAGCTGAAATTTACGCTTATAGTAACATATTTATACCAGCTCACTCCTACAATCTCATATATATATATATGTAGTGCTTCCTTAATTGGTATCAACAATTGTTATCAATTATCTTTAAATTGTACGTAAATCTGACTACTACGAGTTCTGAGATTAAAACTATTCTTTAATTTCTCTTTGGATGTCACATAGTACTGTACGGATACTTTCATTCACCATTCAGATGGCATCGTTTTGCAGAGTTACTTGGTTTTACTTCAAAGGAAATCCATGAAATAAATGAAACACTCTCACAATTTGAATACTATGATGATTCAGCTGTATCACAATCAAGTTTAATGACACCTCGAAGAATATTTTGCTTACTACTATCTAAGTTTCAAAAGCTTGGCGGATGCTTATCTCAAGTTGCAAGTATCCTCCATTCAGCCTCACAAGATAAAAATAAGATTCCTGATAATCTATCACAATCGAACAAATACTTTGAAGATTTTAAAATGTTTTCAGATTGTTATTACCATAATCATCCAATGTCTGACAAATACTTTAATAGTGAGGAGTCCTCTGTTTCGGAGCGAATTTGTCAGTCTCAAAGTGAGTCGACTATTTTCCTTATTCGTAGTTGAATCAATGTAAAATTATATGCAGTAATTATATCGTTCATGGGTATTTTGTATTTTTCGCGTCGACAAGGAAACATAACTATATGCGTAAATATCAGCTGACCTAAATTGGTCAAAGTGTTACCTAGATATGGCTTATCAACCCAGAATTACTATTCGATAGAGTCCACATTACTGTCGTAATACAGATTTAAAGACTTAAGGTGACATGACAGATATATTCATTCCTTATCATGGTATTTAATAGTATTTCGTGCAATTCATATATATAACCAATCTGTGTTGTTTTGGTTTCGTTTTGCTTTTTAGCTCAGTAATTTTCTCACTTACTATGCATATTAATAAATGTAGCAAATCGGCTTTATATATGTGTAAATCAAAGCATACACTCCTTATCGACTATTTGATTAACTACCGACTACCTGTTTTTCCATGTTCTTTTTTTGTTCATATTAATCTTATGATTGATGCAAATTCAAAGTAAATTAAATGATACTTAATAAGTAATCATCAAGTTTCAACATGTTAATTTTTCATATATGTGCAGGAGATTCATGAGAAGAAAAATAAGTTGATGTACAACGCAATAGAATATATATGATTCTGTTTACTTGATCGAACCACGTGATCATAGAGAACTATAGTTTATAGGGACTGTTCATAATATCATCATTATTACACTGGGTATTATTATTGTTTTCATTATTGTTAACGTTAGAGCTAAACAGGTTTCCACTTGTTGAAAGGTCATTTATGGCAGTGATATATCTTGTTATTTTTTCTATCACGTGTTGAACAGCTACATATATTTATCATCCATCTCTTCAAAGCATTCATTATTATTATTATTATTATTATTATTATTATTATTAGTGTGATATTTCACTTGCTTATAATAATCTAAACAATTCTAATTTCACACACCAACTCATAATAGAAATGTGATAGTAATTTTGAAGTAAGCCAAATTCAATAATACAAATATTCCTGGATTAATTTTTTTAAACAAGTTTTAAAAGAATATAAACATGTTGTATCCATGTTAGTGATTGTCATATTTATTCAATTCGTTTACTTTAATACTAATTAATAGGTCATTAATTATTTTGTATTGTGTTTTTATTCTTTTTTTTTCATTTTTTATTAATCAAAAAGAAAAAATAATAAAGCAGTCAAATTTATGTTTGTTTACTCACATGAAACATATAACTATTCATATAATTTATACAATATGTTCTATATAAAACACAATCTTATTTCTAAGCTTTATTTATTTCAATAATGACATGTAAACATATGTTCATTTTACAATGAACAAATGAAATATGATTGGTTAAAATTTTCATATTGTTAGTTATAAATGACTCATCATGTTTATATCAAAAAAAGATTTCGTTTAAATAATTAAACAAGATCCCGCCTCGCGGGATTCGAACCCAGGACTTATCAGTCTGACGCGCGAGCGCTTAAACACTAGACCAATGAACTGGCCGGCATTCAACGATGTTAATGTTTAACTTCAACTAATCCACGAAATTGAGCGACACATTCACCATTGTCATCAGTGAGTTACTATTTCACAAGAGACCTGGTTGAACTCCATTGGTCACTACTTCTCACTAGAACTCCAGGATATACTTCTGGAAGCCAGTGACTAGTGAACATATGTTTATTAATATCAGAAGGGGTTTTCTGGATATTATAGTAATTTCATTAGTTGAGATCATGAGTCAGTTCGAGTCTCGCGAGACGGGATCATGTATGCGCACTGCTGAGGAGTCTCACAACAGGACAGAACGGCCGTCCCGTGCTTCCAGGTTTTCCATAGTGGTCTACCTTCAACTGACTCATGATTTCAACCAATAAAATTACTATAATATCCACAAAACCTTTTCTGATATTAAATAATTATCGTTTATTATTATAAATATGATATTACTGAAAATAAATATAGAAATATATAATGTGATGTAAAAAGGTGAAATTCAACTCCTCAATTAATCCAAGATTCTACTTATACTATAAGGCATATAGTACAACTTTTGGCAGAAAATTTTTGATAATAATAAATCATTTATTCTCTATGACGATAGTCGTTACTATCATTAAATGATTATCATTAAACCGTTCTCCAGAAGACTTGGGGAATATAAGATATCAAGTAAATTTGGGTTCCAGTATTGATCAGCCAATTCACATAACTATAAAACAAGGGATCAGTATTTATTTTACTTGATTCAGTCAGTAATGGTCATTTTTGTGTGAACGAAGTATCAGGAGTAACTCTCTACACAAATTGCGGTTTTACGGTATCCAATTCACGGTAGTTTTACAGTGGGGAAACAAGTTAACAGTGTGGATGGATGGATCACAACTGGGTCGAACAACCGTATCATTATTGTCATGAAGCACAATGTTCCTGGCTCAGATTCCTTATTAAATCCTGGATGTTCGTTATCAAATAGTTCAAAACAAAGGCTGAACATCTGTCTCACACAGTTGGATGTCGACTCAGTTGTTTAGAGGTTAAGCATTCGCGCATGGGATCGAAGGTCTCGGGTTCGGGTCCCACGTGCAGGATCGTGGGTGTGCACCGCTGAGGAGTTCCATAATAAAACGATAGTGGTCTAACTTATATCGGTATATGATTACAATGAAAATCTCCACAACCTCTCACTGGCACTCCCTGAACTTCAATGTTCCTACAGTTGACATCAGTCGATGATGAAATCAAACTGAAGTTGAATTTCTATGGTATATTACCAGAACATAAGTTACTTAAGTGATAAATGCTAAGTGCTTCTCTCTTAATTTCTTTCTTTTATTAAATTATGAATTACAAAGCTCTATGTTTTTTTTAGAAATCGATAGCATAATTTAATTTGGAAAAAGTACACGAAGTAATCACCAATAAAAGAATACTACAATTATTTTGAACTTAACAATTTAAAAGTGATGCGATTTGATAACACATCCAATAACATGTACCAGACTATGAATCATAAAATTTTTCACCTTCATTAGGGTATATGTGAATCTGTTTACGACATTAGTACCTACTTGTTATAAGTCTGTTGTTTAAGCCACTAAGATTCAGTCATTATAAATATAGATGATACTTATCTAATCAGCTGGAATTGTTAACTTTTGAACTACAATACGGTTTTATTTTATTTTTGAACTGTATTTATCCTAACTTTTGATTCTTCGATCTCATTAAATCCATTTAAATTGTATTTGACATAATTTCCTCTATTTATCTTAAAGACGACTGACTGATTGAGTTCGTAAGATTAATGTATTCATCATGGAGTACTAATCTAGTTTCGTTAAATACTATACAATATAACTTTTCTGTTCCAATGTGATAAAATGATTGACAGCGGTTATTTTGTTATAATCAGTACAAAGGAAATTATGTCATAAATTTTCATGTTTTTTGCACATATCAAAATAATTTTTTATTTCATTGTAAACAAGCATAATTACTGTTCTTGTCACGTATAATTTATTATTTTAGTAATAATATCAATTATTAGTGCTTAGGTTACGTAATCCGTTAACATCTGTCTAATCTTTAAATGTTTCTCATTCTCATCTTACATGCTAAATGTTCAGACATACATATACATAACAAATACACATACAAACATAACATAATATAACATAAATGTCTCTTAGTTGTGTTGACAACTCAACTTATTTACCAAAACACTGACCTGATTTTTATTCCATTTCATTAAATTTTTAGTTGCTCATTTAATTTGTATTAAACTGATAAAATAACATATAATCGACTATAAACATAATTTGAACGTTTCATTTAACCAGTAATGTTAATCTTTACTTCTAACAAATTCTGATGAATTGATTTAGTATCTATGTAAGTGAGTAAACCTGCAGGTTAACTTCAAAGTTATTATTTAGATTCAATGTTCATAAATAATGTTTTATCTTGAAAAAATCTATGGTAAACTTCTATTGAGTTCTAGTTTGATTACATTGAAATTTTTAATATCATAGCAGCTATGTGACAATATGTGTTCTAGCTTGTTCTTGACAATAATATTTATTTGTTATTTTAAGTTGGTGAATAATTAATTCTATAAAATACCTATGATTGGAAATGTATCCGTTCAAATCCAACCATATGATGTGTAGGTCCGTTAATCATTCAACCGGTCATTATTAAAGCCAATGGAAATAATTGAGTAGTAGCCAAAATTATGTTGTTTGTTTCTAATTAATGGTCAAATTCTATGAATCAAGTTGCAATGTTAAAGTGTGGACTCGATGTCATAGGGAACATAGTGTTGATGTCTAGTTGTTGGAATGACGAGTAATGGTTTTATATGATATTCACTTCATCGTGATCTTTATTTTGCAGTTGTTGTACTTCTCTTTCTACTCAGTTGTCTGGATTTAGAAAAAGGACTTTGAAGACAATTTAAGCATGGTGTCAAAAATTAAGGTTTTAATAGGAGATATGAAGATACTGTTAAAGTGTAAATGGAATTGTAGATACTCTAACTAACTCCTCAAACGTCTAAAATGAGTGAACTCGGAGAGAATAAGCTTCCTCATGACCGTACATACATCCCTCCAAAGAGTGTTAGCTAATACGAAGCCTAGGTCAAACGTTTCCTACAAACCACCTCCTACCATCTTACATAAGAACGCCAAGTTACCTCTTTATTAAAAAGTCAGAGCTTTCAGTTGGTTTATAATTCATGTAAATTTGGGATAAAAATATCTTCAAGCTTGGAGTCTTAATTTTAGAGAAAACCAGCCTGATGCCACAAATATCTAGCCTAAAGAGTTTGATAATTCATATTGAGTGTTATATGTGTGCTTAGTTTCATTTAACCTGTAGAATTATGTTTCTATATGAAAGAGCAAAAGCGTTTTTGACTCACGTCTAACCGCTAATAAATGATGTTTAATTCAATAATGCTGTATGGTGTGATTCTTGTGAAGAAAAGAAGACGGAGTTCGGTTAAGCTTACCAATTCCTAAATCCACGAGAAGTGTGCTAAGACTAATGTGACGTAATATTACGATAACTGACTGTGTTAATCTAAGTAGCTTCTAATTGTTATCTAGTCATCTATATATAATTTCCGTTCTCTTTTAAAAAATCTCATAATGTTCTAATTCTAACTGTTTTCCCGCTTTAATTCTGTTCTATTATCGCAGAAATAACTCATGGTATCTGTCATCCGAACCAATCGAATCAGAATATAACTTTTCCTACTACTGAACAATATAATCATGTTAAAACACAATATGCAAGTGGAGACGATTATTATCAGCCTAAACAAATTATAAATGAATCAAAAAGAAAGATATTTAGAAATGGTAGTCTAGATAGAATGATGAGCTTGAAAAAACCATGGTCAAGACATGTTAGACGAAGAAATAGCTTGCCCACGACTGCTCAACCAAATGATCCTGATCATATTACTACACTACCCAATTTTAAACTGGCAAAAGAGTTTGATAATTTTGTAGAATTTGGTACACCTATTAAACGTGCCTCGTCTTATCTGAATTCAGATGAAGAAATATCTCAAATTACACCACATAAAAAACAATGTACAAATAATAATAATAATAATAAAAATAATAATATTGAAATCCGACAACAAAAGTATGAATCTATTCGTAAACCTAAAATTGTAACAAAACGTCGAGTTGATAAGAATTTACTTCGACAGCGTAGATCAAATCAAGCCTTACTACCTAATCTATGGCATCCTTCGATATCTTCAACAGCGGACAAAACAACTGAACATATATTAAATGTTGTACAGGCAAAAATCGAAGAAACTAAACGAGAAACTGAAGCAATTCACAAGAATGTCATATCATTTTTGGAAAAAATACAATCTCCTGTTAAAAATATACCAAATTTCACTGAATGTGATCAGAAAACCAAAGAAACCAATTCGTTATTTCTTTTTTCAGATAGATCTATTCAAGATAATGATATATGGAATATTATTCACTTATGTAATAGTACTAATGCACCGAATTGGAAAATCTGGCTTAAAATATGTCATCCTACTTATAATGAACTGAATTCCTTCGATCAAAACTGGTCGAAAGTTTTGAATTTTAGTAAAATTGATCCACGTTACACGTCTTACCTTATTTTACTAAACTGGTTAGAAATTAATTCGAATCCCAAAACGAACATTAAACCAACTTACATGAATTTATTTAAACAATTGATTAATGAAGGTTATAATGAATTTGTGATTTTATGTAAACAAAAGCTTTTCAATAATTATTCACGTAAACGAAATTTTATTAGTTAATTCATTTTCTGTTTTACTTATCTTGTAAATGAACATTTCCTGTGATATTTATCTTGTTAATTTTAACAAACCATTCTTTTATCTACATAATAATTATTTACTACTTAATAGTAGTATATCTGCATATATGTATTAAACTTCATTTTTGTACAGGATTTTGTAAATAGATCAATTTTTTTTACCGCGAACGTTTGTCTTAGCATCGCTTGCTAATCTTTGTAAATATTGATAATATATACAAAAGTATGAACTCACCACTCAGCTACTTTAGTTCCGTGTACAGTAAACCATTAACCTGTTCTTGTTAGTTGATAGATTAGTATTAGACACTAATTTGTATTACTTTTGTAACAAACCAATTGATAGTACATACAATCAGTTCAGAGTTTCTGTTGAAATCATAAACCTTAAATAATAGTAAAAAATTGCAATAGCTACCTTCTGTGAAACAAGTAAAGATTTTGGTATATATATATCACTTAATTTATAGCTAATTTACGCATTTCACCATTGTATAAATGGATTGAATCTTAGTGACATACATTAGATTGCACACGGTCAATTGTTTAGAGAACAAATACAAATCACCCTTTTTACCACTGGATTTCTGGCTAAAACTATGTGTTCATACTCTATGGGTAAAGAAAGATTAAACTTATCATGTCGTGATTAATCGTTCACTTACCGTCTTATGATATTTTAATCCGATAAATTCGTTTATCAAATATAAAATGAATTGAAATTTCGGTATAAGAAGAGGTTATTCTCTAAGCAATGTAATATTTGACTGTTGATCAAAGTGCCATTCTACACACAACTATACATTATTAGGTAGTTATTCTCAAAAACCGCTATAATTCATTAGAAGTCATTCTGGAATTGAGCACACATAACTCTTCAGTAATATAAAGTTACTAAGCTGAAAAATCTATAGCATTTGAGTTCACTCTTACTTATTTACTTACCTTACTTACGCCTGTTAGTCCCAATGGAGCATAGGCCGCCGACCAGGATTCTCCAACCCACTCTGTCCTGGGCCTTCTTTTCTAGTTCCATCCAATTCTTATTCATTTTTCTCATGTCTATTTCCATTTCTCGGCGTAATGTGTTCTTTGGTCTTTCCCTTTTCCTTTGGCCTTCAGGATTCCATGTGAGGGCTTGACTTGTGACGCAGTTAGGTGCTTTCCTCAATGTGTGTCCTATCCACTTCCAGCGCTTCTTCCTGATTTCTTCCTCCACTGGGATATAGTTTGTTCTCTCCCACAATAGGTTGTTGCTAATAGTGTCCGGCCGACAGATCAGAAGTATTTTGCGTAGACACTTGTTAATATACACTTGTATCTTCTGGATGAGAGTTTTCGTAGTTCTCCAGGTTTCTGCCCCAGTAGACAGTAGGACTGTCTTGACATTTGTATTGAAGATCCTGACCTTGGTGTTGGTTGACAGTTGTTTTGAGTTCCAGATGTTCTTCACTTGTACATATGCTGCTCTTGCTTTTCCTATCCGCGCTTTCACATCTGCATGTTCATCAATGATGCTGCCCACATATGTAAAGGTTTTTACATCTTCCAAATCTTCTCCGTCAATTGTGACTGGATTGGTGCATGCTGTGTTGTATCGGAGAATCCTGCTTTTCCCTTTGTGTATATTGAGACCTACTGCTGCTGAGGCTGCTGCCACACTGTTCGTCTTCTCCTGCATTTGTTGTTGCGTGTGCGATCGATCTGCTTTCAGTGCTTCTACTGGAATGTTGTCTGGTCCCGCTGCATTGCCACTCTTGATTTGTCTGATGGCCATGCTGATTTCTTCAATTGTTGGTGGGCCAACATTGATTGGGAGGTCCGTGGGTGCTGCTTCGATGTTGGGTGGGTTCAGTGGAGCTGGTCGATTCAAGAGTTCTTTGAAGTGTTCTACCCACCTGTTTTGTTGCTCTTCAATGTTGGTGATTACCTCGCCTTCCTTGCTTTTCACTGGTCGTTCTGGTTTGCGGCGATTTCCAGAGAGTTTCTTTGTCGTGTCATACAATTGTCTCATGTTTCCTTCTCTTGCAGCCTTTTCCGCCGTCGTTGCTAAATCTTCCACATATTTACGTTTGTCGGTTCTGATGCTCCTCTTCACTTGTTTGTTTACTTCTGTGTATTCAGCTTGTGCCTTGGCTTTTTCTGCTCTTGTTCGACTGGTATTGATTGCTGCCTTCTTGTTCCTCCTTTCTTGAATCTTATCCAGTGTATCAACAGTGATCCATTCCTTGTGATGGTGCTTCTTGTGACCCAGGACCTCATGACATGTTGAAGTGATTGCCTCTTTGATCCCCTTCCAGTTGCTCTCCACAGTAGTTCCTTCTCCATTGAGTAGATCATGAAAGGCCTGGAACTTGTTGCTGAGGACTATCTTGAATTTGTTGAGTTTGTTAGTATCCTGAAGAAAGGCCGTATTGAACTTTTGTGATATTGTCCGCCCCGTTGTCCAGTGCTTCTTGAGTTTCAATTTCATCTTGGCGACCAGCAAGTGATGATCTGATGCTATATCAGCTCCTCTCTTGGTTCTCACGTCCTCTATAGTCCTCCTGAACGTTTTGTTGATGCAAATATGGTCGATTTGGTTTTGTGTGTGATCCGGTGAAGTCCATGTGGTTTTGTGTATGCGTTTATGTGGGAATATGGTGCCGCCTATGACCAGTCCGTGTCGTCCCATGATGTCTTCATATCCAGTGTTGTCCGTTCCAACCTTGGCGTTGAAATCTCCCATCAGCATAGTCAGGTCCTTTGTTGGGCACTTCTCGACGATTGACTGCAGCCTATCGTAGAATTGATCTTTAGAGTCTTCATTGTAGTCGTTGGTAGGTGGATAGCATTGGATGATGTTCATTGAAATGCCCTCTTTCTTTGTTTTGAAGGAGGCTTTGATGATCCTTGGTCCATGAGATTCCCATCCTATAAATGCATTTTGTGCTTGTTTGTACAGCATCAATGCTACTCCTTGTGTATGTGGGGTATTTTCTTCTTCATGGGCAGAGTATAACAAGAGTTCTCCTGAAGTTAGTCGTTGTTGTCCAACTTGTGTCCAATGTGTTTCACTGATCCCAAGTACCTCTAGGTTGTATCTTCTCATTTCTGCAGCAATTTGGAAGGCTCTCCCGGTGTCCCACATTGTACGAACATTCCATGTACCTAAATAAATGGTCGCTCTGGTTGTCAGAAGGGGCATTGGCCTCGTAACTTCCGAAGGAATTCGGATTTCATCATGAGGCGTCATAGTTCTTCTAAATGAAGACCTTCTGACTCCCGGGGCAGAGTTTAAAAGGTTTGAATAATTTTTTCTGGTTAGCGTTTTTTTAGCGAGTTAGTTTTCTACGGGATGGGGACGCTAACCCCATGCCCAACCCTCCTCCTTTATCCGGGCTTGGGACCGGCAGTAGCCCCCGGAGGGACTTCAGGCAGAGTTTGATTTCACTCTCCTATAACATATTTTGTGTTGATATTCAATATTGTTAAATAGAATTCTGAACTCTTGTAAAATATGACTGTTATAATTTGTTTATAAAGAGTAACTTCGTTTGTAATGAGTTTCAACAGGACTGTAGGTCTCAGCGGTTGTCCTGAAATAAATAACTGGGAATAGTGATTATCCTTGATCTTTCAAAGACTAAAGTCTGTTGTTATTTTCACATATGTAATACTTTTTGCACGTATCTATCTGTACTGTGATCTCAACTGATTCTACATTGAGTTCTTCTAGTTTAAATTCAATTAAAAGGACAAAAGGTCATTTTTTCAAGCATAAAATTTCATTTTTGATGACTGGCTATGTTTAGAATTCTTATACTTTTACTAATAATCTAATATCCTATATAGATTCGTACTTTTTTTAGCTCATAACAGTGAAGTTTATGTTTGCCCACAAGCCTTAGTTCAATGCAAAACTCAAGATGAGAATCTAACACTACTAACTCTTTTCCAATTAACTCATCATATTAGTAAGTTAGTTCTCTAATACTGACAATGTACTTAGGAATGGAGTTGATACCTAATTAATAAGTCAAGACTTGAGTGTTGTTCACCGTACCTGTAATAGTTCTTATCACTTCTACATGTGCACAAAATGTATTTAAATGTGATATTTAAGGAAAAAGCATTTTAGAGATAACAGCAAATATGTAAGAAAGGATGACACTATACTTCTGTAGCGAATGATTATTCAATCGTTGTATATATCTGACAGAATGTGTAACTCAATCGTCGTGGCAAAAGTTTGTCTCCTTTTTTTATAGTCATATATAAAGTGATTTGAAATTTACTGGAGAATCAGCAGAAACCAAGAGATGCTGATCAATTACTCATTTCAACTCTTGAAATCACTTTATGTTCCATCTAGTATCAAGACGAAGGTCTAAAGTTTTCGTTGAGTTAGTGCGCACTCATTCATATAAGCTGTTTTATGCTATGACTATCAATGATGTTAAAACTTGTTAAGGCTACTTCACATGTGATGAAATTTCAGCAAAACAGTTATACTACTTACAAGTACATCAAATTGGTCTTTAAAGTTTATATATCTTTTATATCGATGAGATTTTAGTAGCAAGTTTGAACATTATGCTCAGGACATCTGTGTCACATGTTCGAAATGTAGCTGGGAAACTGGTTGAAGAGGTTCACTTCAGGGAAAAAGATGATAATCATACTTTACGAAATGTAGCATACAACTTCGATAATGAGTGGCTCGATTCAATAAATGAATGTCTACAGTTCAATCACAAAGTCGGAAAACGGAGAGGTAACTAAGCTAATCCACTAATACAAGATAATAGTTGGATTCTCATTGCGCATAAAAGCAGGAGTCATCGTTTCATATAGAAATAAAGACTCGTTTTTCAAACTTTCAAATGCCTCTTTTCCTAAGCAACTTTTCTCAGAATATACTGTCTAAAGTAGTAATATGTAATATCAATCCATTAAACAGTGAGAATACGAGCCCACTGATCACAATATTTGTTGGTCAAAAAAAGTTAACTTTCAGATGTGGAGTATCAAAAGGGGAGAGATGAAAGCTTGTCAACCCCTGTTAGTAACAGTATTA